TTTCTCACTTTCCCAATACTTTTAATAAAAAAAAACAAATATCATAACTATAAAATAATAACTAACATCGAACTTTTTTTAAGAGAAAAATCATAATAAAAATAATTCCAACAAATTTTGAAAATACTATTTTTCTATAACGAAGCTCAGGTACATTTTTTTAAGAAAAAAAACGGCGACGCCAAATCTAACCTAAGCGAGGCCTTGGAAGAAAATGACCCACCTCCCCGAGAAATATTTGCGTACATAAGATGTACGCAGGGCTGCGTACATCAGAGGTTATTCAGGGGTACAATGAGATTATATCTGAGTTATGTCCCCTTGTAACCTCCGGTATAACCTGGATATAACTCCCCTGTACCCCCAGAATAACATCTGATGTACGCAGCGCTGCGTACATCTTATGTACGCAAATATTTCACCCAGTCCATTTCCATTAAAGTCACAAGTTCAATCAGATCGAAAACTATTACTGGCTGATTCCATTCCAAAAATACCAGCACTCTTCATCCATCTTACCTACTACTCTTATCCGCAATAAACCCAAGGGACAAAAACAAATCAACAAGTTCAAAATTTAGCAGTGCAAATTTACCATTTCATTATCTCATATCTCAAATCCCCCCCTAAAGCGAAATGCTTAACAGCACCAAATCCATCACAAAAACAGCAGTGCAGAAAAATCTACAACGAACAAAACCGATTAAAAAAAAAAGCAAAAAAAACGAAATGGAATATCTTCCGCGAGTTCAAATAACACCTAATATTTTAAAAAATTATGTTCTCTGCTTCCTCTTATCTTCTTAGTCACCCGGACTCCAAAAGCTCCATAAACGGGAATTAAAAATAGCCGTCAAGTCCGCCCATCCCTTACGCCGATCACCGCCGGAGGCCGGCGTCTGGGTAGCGGCTATTTCAGGCACCAATTCGCTTACCGCTGATTCGAAAACGTCGTCTCGATCTCCTTTCTCCGCCGCTTCGGCGAACACTTCTCCAGTGGCTTCGTCGGCGGACTTCTGGCTAACGTCCTCCACGATTGCTACGGCAGATGAGTCATCGATCGCCTTTTCCTTCTCTTTTCCCTTCTTCTTCCCCTTCTCAGGGGTATCGCCCAGTCTACGCTCCCTTCTCTTCCCTTTCACCGCAGCTCCGGCGCGCTCCGAAGAAGCGAGATGATCTTCGAACGCCTCGATGGCTTGATGAATCAGCTCGCGATCAGGAGAACAATCCCACCGCGACCAGAAACTCGTGTAACAATCAAAGCAACCGCAGCCGAAAAGACGGGAGTGCAGTTCGCCTGGCTTCCCGCAACGACGCTGCTCAGCTGCTTCCTCCGGACCGCCGATCGATCTCATAATAAGGTATGCGAGGACCTCCTTGTCTTCGTTCCCGAGAGCCGCAGTAAGCGCCAGAATCGCCGCAGGAAGAATCCGCAGCACCGCAAGTGCCTCGCTGCGGGGACTAGCCGTCGTGGCCGACGGCGATGGGTGGATCCTCCCCTTCCCCTTGGGATAGAGGTTCTTCATGTCTCTGCCTTTCAAATTCACAGATAGAGAGAAAAAAAGAGAATCGCAGGGTTTATCGATAAAGCGAGAGGGAACGGGTCGCTGTAGGCTGGTTGGGTTGCGGTTTTCGTGGATAGCCTTCGGACCGCAGTGTGACCGGGTATCGCCGGTAAAGCTAATTTTCCGTGGGTACTTTGGCTACGGCGGTGGATCAATGATAATGTTCATAATCAATCGTAATTACGCCTTTGCCCCTGGTCGAAAGTTTCGACTTTTTAAATTGTTGAGGAACAGCAGGGGTATGTCAGGAAATTAAAAACTGTGTGACTGAGCGTATCGGGAATCGCGCGATAAAATATAATTTTCTTGCAGCAACTCGGGACACCATCGGTGATTGTAAGTTATTTGTGGGGCAGAGAAATTTGGATGTGTAGGGCAATTCTAAATCCAATTTTTAAATTAAATAAAATTTAAATTAAATGAATATGACTACTTATAACCATAGATAAAAAGACAAGACTCACAAATAAAAGCAAAAAGACCAATAAACTTGGAACTAAAATCAACTACCAAATCCAACTAGAAAAACAACATAATTAATCAAGTAGCCAAAGTGCAGCATTCTCCCAAAAAGGTCTTCAATCTGAAAGACTACAATGGTGAAGTTCTACCGAATAATAAATCAACACTGGTAACAAAGCACAAGCATCGACACCATCAAAACACTAGAATCAAACACTAAAAGGCAGACAACCCTTAAGAAGCATAAAAGAACTGCAACATTCTCCCCAAAAAAGATCAACAAAAATAATCTAAATGGTTGCAACAATGGAGTTCCAAATTCATAACAACTGAAGCAAGTGTCAACAACACCAAAGCCTCAAGCATGAGCAACCCGATAAAACTTCAGAAACCATCAGCAACCAACAATAACAATCAGCAATATCAAGATGGAACGCTTAATCAAAACTTCAAATGCCGTGTAATTAGAGTAAAAAATCAGGCAAACTCAAAACTTTCAATGAGGTAATGAATGGATAACAATATAGCTCAACCAAACCCAAAATATTACGAAGTCTAGCCTGAAACTGAAAAAATAATATCCCAGTAAAAAGAAATGAAGACAACTTTACCACTAAAAGAGTTTCATTAAATGATTGAAACAAAATTCCATCCAAATTTAATGAAAATATAATAAGAATACTATGACATTAAAAAATTTTAAAAATAGAAATATTGAATAATGGTCTTTTTTGCCCTAATACACATATCTATTAGCAAGAAAGAGCATTAATAATAGAAATATTGCTACTAGCTTCAATACAAAAATCAGAAGCATTTTGATGAAGAGGGAAATTTCAACTATTATTGCAAACAATACCTTTAAGTCTACAATTCAACGGAAAATTGAACCAACTAAAAATGGAGTCATCAAATTTCTCAAAGAGGGAAACCCACTCAACCCAAGGATCATAGTAAGCAAACATAGAACTATCAATATTAACATAAAAATTATAAGTATTCCTAAATATAATTGCAATTCTAATAATATCTTTCTAAAAAGGAAAATATATAAAATTGATTCTACACTAAAAGGAACCATAATGATTAAAAAAACTAATACTTAAATAAGATTTAAAATTATGACATTTGTAAATAAATTTTATTTTATACATCAAGTGAATAGAATCAAGAGTCGGAAGACCTAATCCACCAGCTTAGGTAAAATAATTTTATTTTAAGGAATAGTGTGAAGCTTCTTAGTATCATCAAAATTAAGAAAAAAACTATCAATCATAAAAGACATCTTTTTTCCTCAAACCTTTAGGGAATAAAGTCGAGTGAAACTAATAATAAATAAAGCTACAAATACTGATTTAATAAGTTCGAATCTAGTAGATGGTAATTTTTTCTTTCATTCTACAAGCCAAAAATGAATTTTATCAACCAGCTTATGACAACCAGAAATAACCAACTTAGAAGTTCTAATAATAACCCCAAGGTAATCCTAGAGTAACAGTTTGATAGAGAAACCACTTAAGTTTCAAATAGAAAGTTGCAGATTATTTTCAACAATTTTAAAAAAGGTAATAACAGTTTTTGAAGATTAATATGAAGATTAGAAGCTTTATAAAACTCACTAAGATTATTATAATTAAAACTCAAATAACTATTACCAGTCTTACTAAAATAAGAATATCGTCAGTATAAATCAAATGATGAATAGAGTCCATATAAGAATTCCTGGGCATCTGATTATCAAAATAACAAAAAGTGAATCCAAAATGATAGCAAAAAAAGGAGATAGAGGACACAGTTTCTTCAATCTAGACTATGGAGAGAAATAACCTTCAACTCACTATTAATAACAATGAAAGAAAGACATGAGAAGTACAAGCCACACTCCAATTAATATATTTGACAGGAACACAGATTCTATGCAAACTTCTACACAAAAAAATCCTTATTAACTTTGTAAAAGGCTTTATGAATCTTCATGTTTGCACAAAGCATATTCATACTCTTACAAAAATTAAAACCTAAAAGAAGTTTATTATCTAAAATAATATTATCAGAAATACGAGGACCACTAATAAAAGCAGCTTGAGCTGGATGCATGTTGATTTTATTTTATTTTATTTCTTGTTGTTGAATTCCAAAATGTACTTCAAGTCTTGCCCAAGGATAAGAACATTGGTCGAATGAGAGGAATGAAAAGGAAAAGAGTAGAGAAAGGCAAGCATAAATAGAATGAATCCTCGAGCATAGATTCATTTGTCTTTTCTATAATAATGACCCTCCAGTTTATAAGTCATTGGAAGGGTCCAATAAACTACGTGATTGTACCTCATTTACTAGGAACATTACAATTATTTATGAGATATTACACATTTACATATTTTTAACTAAATTGGACATATTCTAACCTTGCAACCGAAGTTGGCATCGTTCCACATCTGTAAATGCCCTAGGCACCATTTCGTATTTATAACTGCTTGGCTTGGTCATGCAGTATTTGTTTGGTCGATAAAAAATTCATTCGACAGATTGAACTATCTTTAGTCACCTTTTATGAGAAATCCATCAAGAAGACTTGTTTTCCTCTAGGAGGATTATTTGATCACATAGATGGCATATTACTGTAATCTAATAAACAACCTATCTTTTGTAAATGAATCTATACAGAAGAAGTTTTTTTAGGAAATTGTTGTTCTTGTGAATACACTTTGTATTTGTTAGATTACTATCGGTATTAGCATGTGATGCTCTTCGATTTAGCTGACTAACATTATGTCGGCTAAAGTTTGGCTGATTGGAGTGTTACTGAATTGCTCAGTCTTTTGTTGCTCTCTTTGTGCAGTCCATTGAATATCCTTGAGATTCATGAAACCACAATTTGAATGTATATAATTTGTTCTCACTTCTCTTAATTCTTTAAAAGTGAAAACTATAAGAAGAATAAGAGAATAAAATAAAAAAAATATTTAATTAATGAATAATAAGTAATGAGAATATTTGTACTCCTTTGAATTTTGTTCCACATTTCCCTATAAATTGGGCATGATCAATGTTTTCTTTTTGCACTTCTAGAATTTTCTTATCCTTTAGTCGTTCATAGTGGTGGATGAAGATGTCAGGTGTAACAAGGCCTGTGAGTAAGGAAGCACTGATGAAAGCCTTCGAGCTTCCCACTTCAAAGATCCACCCTTCTAAGGTGAGAAGAGAAGGAAGCCGTAATGTTCTCATTATGTTTTGAAGAAAAGGATGAAGAGGGTTGACCGACCAAGAGGAGACCGAGGGATGAGCAAAAAATAATTGGCCCCAAAGTATCGACCAAAGGAACCAAGGCTGAGGGCTCCAGGATGGTAAAGCATCCGGTGCTGAAAAAACAAAGGGGAAAGGAGATAGGAGTTTTCTGACTCACTACTACTCATAGAGGTGAGGAGCCGGAAGGGAGTGTGTATTGGTGATACATCTGTTTTGGCTCCCAACCCAATTGGCTAACAACCAGCACAGGTGGAACCTAATGAGAAAAAAGGTATATAGAAATGATTGTGCAAGTTTTTCTCTTGGAAGGTACCCTGACTAAGCTTTTGGTCGGAGAGGTAGTTCGGAGTGATGCTCCACTACTAGTAAGTGTCAAACTTCAATCTTCGACAAGTGGAACTATTTAAGGTGATGCTCCACAACTTTTTGGTGAATGTCATTGTACATTGGAGACTGATTGAATGATAGGTAACTTGAATATTCTTTTATTTGGATCTCTATTTTGTCTTAATGGTGCCGACTTTAATTTTATAGATGATGATTTGGAAACCTTTGACTCCTTGCCCTTAAGGGTCGTGCAGCTTCTCGAGCCAAAGTAACTTCTTGATTCTACTGTTCCTACCCTAGTTGAAACGGTGTCCGCCCTGCCACCCCATCTGACTGATCCTGAGAGGGAGACAGATGATCAATGTGAGTCAAATATTTCCTTGGCCTAGTATATGAAAAATACCATACATTCCTTTGACTCAACTGGTCTTTAGCGAGAGGCCGCCATGTCAAACATATGGGTAGAGTTGGCTGTCCTTTCTAACAAGATGGAGACTCTTCGAGTTGAGGTGGCTTTTCTTTCAAGTGGAGGAGGAGAAGATTGGTCTAGTAAACATTGAAAGGTGGGCCTGAGCATCTAGCTTGATTTGCCTCATCTGGGATGAAGAGGAGAAGATTTAGAAATCTAAATTTTGTGACGTGCATTGTATATGAGCTTTATGAGTATGGTTCTAGTCTTGTCCGAGGCGGTTGATGGACCTTCAGTAAAATACTTTTTTATTATAATTAAATTTCTAAATTTTGCCTAATTTAAACAAAAAATTAATCATCATGTGTTTTTAATTTTTGCGTCGATGTGATGCATTTTCAAAGCTCGACGTAAGGTTTTGAGGCATTTTAACTTTCTCGTGTATCCTATATATAGGGTTGAGTGAAAAGTTAGTGAAAACCTTTCATTTCTCACTTTTCTTTCCCTCGATTTGGTCTATCCTAGAACTTTATGGCTTCCAAATTTTCTTTCTAGATGTTTGGTTCAGTGAGGTCTATTGAGAGATCTATTTTGACTGAATTAGATATTGAGCTTTTGAACAACACATGTGTGTACAACATAAGTGTTGTTCTTCATCACATGGATGCGAATGTTTGAGCCTCT